GCACGTCCTAGCATTTATGAAATCTCTGGTAAGTTTTTCTGAAGGATTTCGACATAATAAGGACCTGTCATTATTTCTTGGAAGCAAAAAAGATTTGATTTCCCTTTCGCACAAAATCCACCCCAAACAAAAATTTTTGTTCTGTCTTTTGGAATGCGACGTGTTGGCCGGGCCCCCTTATATCACTGTTTTATTGTATTTCAAAACAACTGAAAACATGTTTTGTTGAAAAAAAATGTTTTCTTCCAGTTATCGCTAAGGTGAGCTTGAGCCCATTTCACTTGGTTTTTTTTATATTTATCCATAAGTATTGGAGTAGCTAACGGCAAATCATTTTTATACCCCAGATAATCCAAATGTCTCGAAACTGTTCTATAGAACACATAAGTATCTATTTCAGTTAATTTTATTGTTATTTTCCAGGAAGAGATAGAGGGATCATGCCATACATATTGACCGATTGCCTTAGAAGCTCTTGATGTTATTTTTTTAGAATGCCCACCACCTTTTCTTCACTTGACATTTCCTGTTTCTTTTAATTTTTTGATATTGTATTTGATAGTTCTTAGTGGAATGCTGGTTTTTAAATAAAATTCTCAAGGGCTACGTACCCCATTGTTCCAGAAATGTAAAAGAGTTCCAAGATATACTTTGCTATTTGGCGAAGACATTTTAAACTTTATTTTTCGATGAAGTAGGTGGGAAATAATAGTATAAAAGAAATGTAGAGATATTGTAATGGCATGAGTTTATGATGACATAATTTGTTTATTATTTATTTTTTAAAAAAAAAATCACATGAATTTTTATCACATGAATTATGAGGGCAAAAAGTTTTGTCCCAAACTGTAAATAAATATCAATAACATGCATCTATGTATTCTTATAACATATTGATCTCTGGTCAATGTTAATCTATTTCTAAACTATGTAGTTTACTGTCTATAATATACGATTTATCTTTGTAATCTGATCTAATGTGAGGAATATAATCACTTTTATAAATTGTTTTATCGTATTCCTGTGTATGCGAAATTTCTATGTTTTTAAATATTTTGTCAGACTCGGCAAATTCCGTTAAAATATTCGCGTCATTTTGCCATTCTGTAAAAATTTTGTAAATTTCTTCGGCAAGTGGACGTTTCTCCGGATTTTCATCCCAGCATCTTTTCATAAGATCCTCATAACAGCGTGGAGTTCCTTCAATAATAGTTGGTCGAGAGCCACTGCATACTTGAATTTGAAATTGTACTCTAGATACTTGATTAAAAGGAACGGCTTTTCCAGAAGAAACTTCCCACATAATTATGCCAAATGAGTAAATATCAGATGCTAAAGTATATGAATTACCACGAAGGACTTCGGGCGCTATGTATGGTAGAATCCCATAGACTCCTCCAGATTCTGTACCAGATGACATTGAAAGACCCAGATCCGCAATATATGCACTATGTAAATTGTCTAGTAATATATTTCCACTATGTACAGTAAATCTCGGTGAATAATATTTTCAGAATGAATTAATTGAAGATCAGAGGATATACAAATAAACAGTTTTAACTTTTCTTTCCATTCAGTTTGTGCTACAGAACGAAGGTTGTTACGCAAAGAACCCATTGGTGCATAATCCATAATGAGAATGTAATCTTTAGAAATATCATCTCTCGATATTCCATAACATTTTAATAATGTGGGGTTTTTATAACCAACATCACAATATGCTTTTAGCTTTAATACAAGAAAGTGAGTGTAAGAAAAATTTAAAATTTTTATCTCAATAACACTGTAAATAAAAATTACCTCTTTTATAAACTCTTGATTATTATCTCTCGATCCATTAAATAATTTAAGTGCGACATATCTAGTCTTCCAGCGGGCAGAAAACACAGTTGCAAATCCTCCCTGTCCTATCTCATTAATCTCTTTAAATTCACTATAAGGAATCCAAATTAACGGATACTTGCTTTCGGTAAGAATTTTTTTAAGTTTATTATCAATATTAGAATTTTCAATTATTGATTCGTTCGAGACTAAATAAATGGATTATTAGATTCTGAATAGTAAAGTGAACAATAATATTAATCTCAATATATTACCTAACAACTGATTTCTTTCCCTAATTGTTTGTATATAGTTGTTAATTTACAAACAAATAGTGATAAATTTAATAATTTACTGTACTTACATTTGATACCAATGCATCGCCATTTCTAAGTTTCGTCTAATTCCAATTCCGTTTCTATAATATCCAGCAACCGCAAACATTCCATTTGTATTACCCATCTCGGCTGATTTTTGATAATATTCGAATGCCTTATATTCATCCTCTTCAACTCCAATTCCATTTTCATAATAAAAGCCAACAATATATGTTCCCGATGCATTACCCATCTCGGCTGACTTTTGATAATATTCGAATGCCTCATATTCATCCTTTTCAACTCCAATTCCATTTTCATAACAATAGCCAATAAAACGTGTTCCATCTGCATTACCCATCTCAGCTGATTTTTGATAATATTCGAATGCCTTATGTTCATTCTTTTCGACTCCAATTCCATTTTTATCACAACGACCAACCCGAAATACGCTATCAGAATCACCCATATCAGCTGATTTTTGATAATATTCGAATGCCTTATGTTCATTCTTTTCGACTCCAATTCCAAATTCATAATTAATGCCAACATTATATGATCCTATTACATCACCGATCTCGGCTGATTTTTGATAATATTCGAATGCCTTATATTCATCCTTTTCAACTCCAATTCCTTTTTCATAACAATAGCCAACATTATATGTTCCAAATGCACCACCCATCTCGGCTGATTTTTGATAATTTTCGAATGCCTTATGTTCATTCTTTTCGACTCCAATTCCTTTATTATAACAATGGCCAACATTATTTGTTCCCGATGCATCACCCATCTCGGCTGATTTTTGATAATATTCGACTGCCTTATATTCATCCTTTACAACTCCAATTCCATTTTTATAACAATGGCCAACATTATTTGTTCCCAATGCATCACCCATCTCGGCTGACTTTTGATAATATTCGAATGCCCTATATTCATCCTTTTCAACTCCAATTCCTTTTTCATAACAATAGCCAATACAACGTGTTGCATTTGTATTACCCATCTCGGCTGACTTTTGATAATATTCGAATGCTCGTTTTTCATTCTTTTCTACCCATATACCATAGTGATGACAGCTTGCAAGAATAAATTCGACCATGTGATTTTTTTGATTTTTTAGATACCGATTGATTACATCTTCCGGTTTTAGCTGTTTTTTGGTCAAATATTCTTCTAACATGACAAAAATCCTTTTAGTATCTTTTCCTTTTAATTTTTCCCTGTTATACAAATTATATAACTCTTCGGTAATTTCATCGAGAAAATCTTGCGACTTATTATCATCGTATAAGGGTGATAGTTTAAAGTTGGATGACATTCTGAATGGTTTTTTAGGACGTACACTACATTGTGTGATATAAAGCATGTGTATGTAACACAACGCATACTGTACTGTAATTAATGGAATGATACGTGCAACCATTTTTTTTAATTAAATCAATAAAAAAAAATATTAAATTATAAAATAGCAAAATAATAAAAACGTTTTTTTAAAAAATGTAAAATTATTTAATTAAATTTGTTAGGAAATTTAAATATTTTTATTTTTTAAAAAAACTGAATGTTCGATACAGTAAAAAACCAAAATTAGAAAATATTTAAATTTTGTTGAAATCAATAAAATATCCAAAAAACAAGTTAATGAATAAATAGAAATGGAAACATATAAATAAAAGAAAATAAAAATAAAACAAGCTACAATGATACCAACAATAATAATTGCATGTAAATACGCTTTTCGCTGATTTTTTTGCCAACCAAAAAATCAAATGTTCTGAAGAAATTTTATATTTCCATAACCATAAAGGAAATCCATTTTTCTTAACAATAATTGACCTTTTTATTAACATAACGAGTAGCTATTTTATTTCAAAAATTTTAAAAAAATTTTATTTAATAAAAAAACATATAAATCAAATTCCATTATATTAATTATAAAAAATAAAAATAAAATTAAAATTAAAAAAATATATATTATTTAAAAATATTATTTAAAATATTTACAGTAACGAACTTAAAAAAATTAGGTAATTTATTAAATTTAAAATAATGATTTATAATATTAAATATATATAGATTTTAAAATAACGAAAATAAAAATAATATAATGCAAAACTACATATACAGTATATTTATTACGTTGTTATAATTAAACCAAATAAGAAACTTATGTACTTATATTGCATACTATAATACAATCATCGCCAATAAATTATAATCGATTGGAATTTATTAAAGTTTACGAATATCACCGTGTGAAGTAATGAAATTAAGAAATGCAGAAATAAAAAATTTTATTAATATTAAAATTGTTTTTTATAATTAAATGTAAATAATTGTGCGTTCCTATAAATTAAAATACAGATAGTAATATTTTTATTTTCTATAAAGTATTATTTGAGTTAAATAGTCTCCGGCAAAAAGTTGACGTAAAAATTTTTTTAAAACCACGCGTTAAATTTTACAATCATATTCGGCTTATATAAAATTAACAGTCTTTGTTTACGTCTTTGACACGGAAACAGTAATAGGCTTCAAATATTTTGCACTAATATTTAATGTTTGAATTCTTAAACAATAAGTTAATTAAAACAATTATAGCATATGGTAATATCATATCGTTTAATTTTCCGATTCAGTTTTAACGAAAAAATTTACTCATCTTAATATTAAAAAGATATTGACTTTACTTTTTTATACATTATATTTCAATCAGCTCAAATAGCGTGTGCCTAGGACATATTTTATTAAGAGAATTTAAATGCGGACAAAGGCATTCTTTCATAATCGTTTGAGTTATTACGCCAATTCATTAATCCACCCTTTCAACATTTCCGAATCAACATTAATTCCGTTTTAAATTATCATCTCACCAACTTTTCTTGCTCCATCCTCATTTCTCTTTTTTATAAAGCATTTGATCATATATTCACATGCTATCTTGTTGATCAATATCCTCTTGTTCCTAGCTGCGTTGCTTCTTAAACTGTTTAACTTTTCAAGACTTTCCCACAAATCTTCCATTTTCTCCAACTTTCCCAATTTCCAATACTCATTCGTCAGCATACTGAATCCTCTACTTACCTCTTCATCTTCAATCTTCCAAATGCACATGTGTTTTAATATTCTTTCCGCTTTTTCAAAATCGTTTTTCCCGATTAATAGTTTCATAATGTTTCCATACATTCCACTTACTCTCATACTCATTCCCCGTTCCCACATTCCATCATATATT